TTTTTTTATTAAAGCACAATACTCATTAATAATAGTCAGAGATTATAATCTCAAATCCCATTAGAGCCATATAAGCATAGAAAAGTAATCAATAGCCTAATTTACCAAAAAAGAAAAAGAAAGAAAGAAGGTAATGTAATTTGTAAAATTAATTACTTATTCGTTTAAATGAAAACAATTTGATTTATCTTAAATGAGATTATGAATTCGAGTTTTATGAATAGAGAAATAAATATTAAGAGAGTTTTCTTTCTTATAAAATTCAATGGAGATCAGTTTTAAATTAGTCAAATTCAAATATGATTTTTAAATATCAAAAAAGTTAATAAAAAAATAATTTATAATTTATAAAACAATTAAGTATAGGTATATACAGAGAGCAAGTTATTACAAGACTATGCCATAGGAGCCAATACAGAGCTATGAAAAATAGATCATGATTACCCTTTGAGCATCATGGGCTTCTCGTTAATCACATCTGTATTGCATGTACTAATCCTCGGTTTTTTGTGGGTTTGATTTTGTTTTTCATCACTTTTATCTTCTATATATATTACTCCTTCCGAAATTTCGTCTATTGAGGAGGAAGAGTTTCAACATTCCTGAATTAAATTTGGTGTAGCACAATATTATTTGTTAAATCTTTTAAATGCTTCTGCCAAAACCCAATAACTATCCCAGAATTTTTTTAGGAGGCTCATTGAGTGCTCAATTTTTGGTGATTGCTTTGAGTTAGCCCAACGTCTGTGCTGTGTTATACCGGCTGAATGTGATTTTGAATTTTTGAATTTTGAATATTTTTAATTCTTAAATTATTTTTTATATTCTTTTGTCCCTAAATTATGAATAATATAGTTTTTTACTCATTTCGCCAGGTAATTTATTAAGTTTTTCTATGTTTTTATTATTAGTTCTTAAACTTTTTGTCCCTAAACTTATAAAAATGTGTATATATGAATAAATTTAATAAATTTACTAACAAAATAACTAAAAATTAGCATTTTTCATAATTTATGGATGAAAAAATTACAAAAAATAATTAGAGACTAAAATGTTTAAAATTGAAAGTTTAAAGATTAAAAATGACATTTAACCTATTAAATTAGTGTTAATTGTGATTATAGTCACATAATAAATTGTTAAAGTTACATAAATTTTTAAACTTTATCTTTTAAAATACTTATTCTTTTTACTTTGATCATTAGATAAAGTTAATAATTATAATAGTTGATAAATAATAAAATAATTAATATTATTACTTAACAATAATGACTAATATTTTTAAATATCTTAATTGCCTATTTTAACCAAAAAAATAAATAAATAAACTCTAACACTTTTAGTGTATAACCTTAACCACTTTCAGGTATAAAAATCCTGTCTGGTGATCTCAAAGGTATAGATTTTTTTGTTGGTGAAATCCCAACTAGGTAGCCTCTTTCTCAACGTGCACTACAGTAAAGTTTCAAAGCATTCGCACTTAAAGAAATTTAATGCACGAGCTAGAGATAAGGATGCACTCTTAATTTAAGAAACAAAAAATTAACATTTTGTTAAAGAAAATTTTTATAATGAGTTGGTTTATAACTGATTATGTGTTTTATTTTGATAGTTTTTATATTTATTTCGTAGATAGTGATATAAGGATAATCTTTTTATATCATATTTTTATACAACTTTTACATGTTATTAAATAAGTGAATATATTTAATATCACAAATTTTAAATAAATAAAAAGAATCAATTATTTAAATTATAAATAAGATTGTATAAAAAGATTATACAAAAAAAAAATTATCCCTAAATCATTTTTTTTATTTCATTGTTCAAGAAACAAAAAATGGTAAGAATTGGCTTGTTTCTAAGCCATGGTTTAGTATTTGACAGTGATATAATTAGAAAAT